ACTGTGTGATGGATTTCCTGTGGGGGAAGGAGTCAGAGATGATGGCTGGGAACTTGTGCTGGACTGCTGGGTGGACATCGACTGACCATGTGACCGACTCTAAATATTACAGTTATAATTCTACTATAAGGCTTTCTACTAAACACAGTAAATAGTCATATGACATTTACTATGATTTACAACCATAGAAGGTCATTCTTATCTTCATGATTTCTGCCTTATTTTTATAAAACAAATTTAGAAGGAAAATCTATACCAGTATTAGAAAATTTAGAACAGCTTGTGTCAAGAGATTTTTTTTTTTGCTTTGTTTTTGTTTTGTGATTTATTTTTTAACTTTTTTTTTGCTGTACGCGGGCCTCTCACTGCTGTGGCCTCTCCGGTTGCGGAGCACAGGCTCCAGACGTGCAGGCTCAGCGGCCATGGCTCACAGGCCCAGCCACTCCACGGCATGTGGGATCTTCCCCGACCGGGGCACAAACCCGCGTCCTCTGCATCGGCAGGTGGACTCTCAACCACTGCGCCACCAGGGAAGCCCTTATTTTTTAACATTTTTAATGAAAAATTTCAAACATATACAAAATAAGAGAGAATAGTAATGAAACACATTTATACATTTCACTCAGATTCCAGTTATTAATTCACGTCCAATCTTGTTTTATTTAAATAAACTCTCCTCCCGTACAGCTACATTTTTTTAGCTTTGTTGAGATAAAATTGACATACAACACAGGGTAGGTTTAAGGTGTACAACGTGATGATCTGATAAACTTATATATTGCAAAATGAGTACCACAATAAGGTTAGTTGACATACACATCACCTCATATAATTACATTTTGTGTGTGTGTGTGGTGAGAACATTTAAGATTTACTTTCTTACCAACTTTCAAGTATATAATATAGTATTGTTAATTATAGTCACAATGCTGCACATTAGATCCCCAGAATTTATTCATCCTAAACTGAGTTTGTACATTTTGACCAACATTTCCTCATTTCCCCCACTATCTCAACCTTTGGCAACCACCAATCTATTCTGTTTCCACATATAAGTGATATTATGCAGTACTTATATTTCTGTGTCTCACGTATTTCACTTAGTATGACACCTTCGAGGTCCATCCATGTTGTCACAAATGGCAGAATGTCCTTCATTATCATAGCTGAATAATACATATGTATATATGTATACACACACACACACTTTCTTCATCCATCCACTGATGGACACTTAGGTTGTTTCCATATCTTGGTTATTGTGAATAATGCTGTAACGAACATGGGGGTGCAGATATTTCTTTGAGATAGTGATATCATTTCCTTTGGACATATACCCAGATATGGGATTGCTGGATCATATTCATATGGTAGTTCTATTTTTAACTTTTGTATAACTTCCAAGCTGTTTGCCGTGGTGCCTATGCCAATTTACATTCCCACCAACAGAAGGATTCCCTTTTTTCCAAGATCCTTGTTATCTCTTGTCTTTTTGATAATAGCCATCCTAACAGGTGTGAGGTGATATCTCATTGTGGTTTTTATTTGCATTTCCCTGATGATTAGTAATGTTGAGTGTCTTTTCTTGTACATGTTGCCCATTTGTATGTCTTCTTTGGAAAAATATTTATTCAGGTTTTCTGCCCATTTTTAAACTGGAATATTTGTTTATTGCTATTGAGTTGTATGCATTCCTTATACATTTTGAATATTAAACCCTTATCAGGTATATGGCTTGCAAGCATTTTCTCCCATTCAGTAGATTGCCTTTTACTTTTGTTGGTTATTTCTTTTGCTACACAGAAGTTTTGGTTTGATGTAGTCCCACTTTTGTTTGTTTGTTTGCTTTCGTGGATTGTACTTTTGGTCTTGTCCAAAATATGGTTGCCAAGGCAAGGAGGTATTTCCCTATGTTTTCTTCTAGGAGTTTTACAATTTTACGTTTTACATTTAAGTCTTTAACACATTTTGAGTTAATTTTTGTAAGTGGTGTAAGATAGAGGTCCAATTTCTTTTGCATGTAAATATCAGATTTTCCCAACACCACTTATTGAGGAAAATATCTTTTCCCCATTGAGTATTCTTGACTTCCTTGTCAAATATTAATTGACTGTATGTGTGTGTTTATTTCTGGGCTCTCAGTTTTGTTCCATTGGTCTATGTATCTGTTCTTATGCCAGTACCATACTGTTTTGATTATGATAGCTGCTTTGTATTATAGTTTGAAATCAGGAAGTGTGATGCCTCCAGCCTTGTTCTTTCTCAGAATTGCTTTGAATATTTGGGATCTTTTGTTGTTCTGTACCAATTTTATGATTAGTTTTTCTAGTTCTGTGAAAAATGCCATTGGAATTTTGACAGAGATTGTATTGGATCTATATATGGATGGCTTTGAGTAGGATGGACATGCTAACAATGTTAATTCTTCCAATCCAAGAGCACAGGATATTTTTCCATTTATTTGTGTCTTCATCATTTCTTTCACCAATGTCTAATAATTTTCAGTGTACAGATGTTTCACCTCATTGGTTAAATTTATCCCTAAGTGTTTTTCATTGTTTTGAATGCTGTTGTAAATGGGATTCTTTATTTCTTTTACAAATTGTTCATTATTAGTGTATGGAAACTAGCTTATTTCTGTAAGTTGATTTTTCATCCTACAACTTTACTGAATTCACTTATTAGTTCTATTTTTTGATGGCATCTTTAGGATTTTCTGTATCCAAGATATCATCTTCAACAGAAACAGTCTTACTTTTTCCTTCCCAAATTGGATGCCTTTTATTTCTTTTTATTGTCTAGTTGCTCTGTCTAGGACTTCCAGTACTGTGCTGAATAGAAACAGGGAGAGTGGGCATGTCTTGTCTTGTTCTTGACCTTAGAGGAAAAGCTTTCAGCTTTTCATCATTAAGTGTACATGTTAGCTCTGGTCTTGTCATATATGGCTTCTATTATGTTCAGGTATATTTTATCTATACTTAATTTGTTGAGAGTTTTCATCATGAAAGGATGTTGAATTTTGTCAAAATCTTCTTCTCCATCTATTGAAATGACCATATAATTTTTATCCTTCATTTTGTTAGTGGAGTGTATCACATTGATTGATTTGCATATATTGAACCATTCTTGTATCCCAGGAATAAATCCTTCTTGATCATGACATATGATTCTTTTAATGTATTGTTGAATTCAGTTTGCTAATATTTTGTTGAAGACTTTTGCATGTATGTTCATCAGCGATATTGACCTGTAATTGTCTCTTCTTGTAGTATTATCTTGCCTTGGTATCAGGGTAATGATGGCCTTTTAAAATGAGTTTGTAGTGGATGGAGTTTCCGTTTTTTGGAGGAGTTTGAGAAAGATTTGTATTAATTCTTTAAATGCTCATCTTATTGTTTTCTAGCTGTTTTGTAGTTCATTTGTTCTTTTCTTCCTTCTTTGCTGTCTTCGTTTGTCAGTCAGTGATTTTTGTAGTGTTATGCTTTGATTCTCTTCTCTTTACCTTTTGTGTATCTACTGTAGGTTTTGCTTTGTGATTACCATGAGGCTTACATAAAATATTTTATAGATTTAACAGTCTATTTTAGGCCAATAACAATTTAACTTTGATCACATACAAAACTTCCCTTTTACTGCCCCCCCCACCCCATGTTTTATGCTTTTGGTGTCATAATTTACCTCTTTTTATGTGTGTACCAATAACAGATTATTGAAGCTATAGTTATTTTTAATACTTTTGTCCTTTAACCTTTATGCTAGAGTTAAGTGATTTATACACCATTATATAATGGTATTAGAGTATTCTTAAACTGACTATATACTTACCTTTACCAGCGTGTTTTATACCAGTGTGTATGCCTTTAAACTCTATGAACTAAGCCTTAAATCTATAACATTCAGCTTTTGAATCCTTTCCAAGTGGTTGCTTTACAGTGTTTGAAACCCAGAAAACTTCGGTTTGCATGATGAGAATCTCAAAGACACACAGCCCTGAGTTTGATCCCCAGCCACAAAACAGTCTTTCTATTTTGGCCTTGAGCTCATCACTTTACAACAGTGGACCAGCCTCTATGAGCCCCAAAGAGCGCCATGACATTCTAAACTTGTAAACAGAGGAGGGTGGGGGAAGAGGAGTGGTCATGGGATTGGGGTGTGAGTTGATGAGAGCTTTCCAGGATTTTTGTATGGCTAAGAGACAGACACACATGTTCCCAAAACAACTGACGTGTGTGGGTGGGGGAAGGGGTGTCTGGATCCCTGTGGTTTTGGTTGATCTCTCCTTTCTTGCTCTTTCTGACATGTCAGTAACTTTCTTTGAATAGGAAGAATTAAGTGCTGTTGTTTTAAATTTTGTTTAAGCTAAAATGTAAATTGCATGTAATAGCTTATGGGATATTAAGACAGAAATCAACATCTCAAGAATCATCCTCTCATTTATAAATGAAGAAACTGAAGCTCAGAGGAGTTGTTACATTTTACCCAGGATCTCACATCTAGCAGGTGGCAGAACCCTGAGAAAAGCCCAGGTCTTCTTTCCTCCCTCCTTCACCTGAGCAATTTGATGCACATTTTACCAGGGAGAACTGGAGTCATTCCTTCTGATTTAGTGATGCAAACACAAATCAACATTCAGAAGCCTGTTCTGACTTTCTTTACATGAGTTTTAAATAGAGCATAATGGCCACTGAAAATAAATCTTTGGATTGGAAACTTGACAGTGTCCTTCAGCTCTGTTCTCTCTCTTGGAATACAAGGACATATTTCCATTTTATTGCAAATTGAACATAAGCAGTTTTACTACATAGCCAGAAGTTTGGCAAGACCACTTTAAATTTCAAGCCTCCAGATTTATCTTGAATGAACTTGAGGCTGTGTGTGTGTGTGTGTGTGTGTGTAGCCATTTTCAATGGAGTTTTCCAACTGTCTTTGGTTGGGCCATGGACAGTTGTCTAGTGGTCTCAAACTGTATTGTATGTGCTCTGAATTATTTTCATTTTTAGGACCAGATCTTTATGGAAAATGTGGGTGCAGTGAAGCAGCTTTGCAAACTAACCAACAACCTTGAAGAAAGAATAGAAGAGTTAGAAATATGGAACAGAAGACTGGCCAGGCTAAAGCGGCTCAGTAGTTGGAAGTCCTCCGCCAGTGAAGTGAGCTCGATCAGGTACTTCCAGGATTGCCATAGAAATCTGGAGAAAGGAGAGAATGGAGTCTTTCCATAACTAGATCACTCTGAATGGTTTGTTCTACCAAGCAGCAACCATTACTTTCTTTTAATTAAGTCCCTATTCTTCTTTCAGAATGTTTTGGAACACAGTTGTTTTATGTGATAATTTTCTTATTTTTTCTGTTGCTGCTTTTAAAATAAAACAAAATATAATGCATCTGTTTAAGAGCAGTGATTATAGGAAGTGCTACATTTTAACAAAAGGGTGGCCTTTCCTTTAAGGAGGAAAGGTGGCCATTTCTAAATTTAGAGAACCATGTTTGGTCCTCAGGGAAAAAACTTTTATTCTATTTTTTTTATTACTTAAGGAGGCACGTGCACATTTTCTGGGATATATTTTGAGAAAAAGGGAAATGTAACTTTTAATGCATTTATTTATACTTACTAAGTTTCTTGTACACAAAAAGAACCCTCAATTGCCTCGACTCTTCCTTTTTTAAATTACCACTGAATAATAATAATAAAAAAGCATACTGCTGTGTTAGTGACAGCCTGGGCCTTTGTCATATAACTCTTGGAGAGGCAGCTGAATCAAAACTAATTTTCTCTTTCTCTTTTTAAAGCAAATTTAGCAGAGCTCTTAGTGCATCTTCTCCAAAAAGGACCATTCCCCAAAAAACCAGCAAGGTAAATAGACTTAAATTTATAATGAACAGAGGTGATATTTTCTATTCAAATAGTCTTTAGAAAAATTGACCAGGAGTTTTTTTCTTCATTTATTTGTTGACGGGTTCCCTAGGCATCCTTATGCACTTAAGGCATTTAAATATTATCCTTTTAATAGATATTAACTGGTTTTTCAAAGAGGAGTTTAGAGATATGAGTATAGAACCTGTTCATTTCAGAAACGTTGTTCTGCCGCTTTTTGTGTATATAGTCCCCATCAGGTGAAATGCATCAGCAGATGACTCGGGGCTGCAAGATCTGTGTGGATGCCTTGACTCGACTCAGGCCCTTATCTTTGTCTCCAGAAGATCTCAAAGGGATGTCAGTTAATCCACAAATCCCTCTCTTCCCTTTGATATTTAGTACTATATATGCAAATGGAGACTAGGTATTCACTTGCTTGCAAAGGATAAAATGTGACAGCTTTATTAATGAATAGAACCTTTCATCAAATAGGATAACATTTACATTAAAGGTGAAGGTTAATCATTTAACTTAAAGGACACCCTCTCCATTGCAGAGAAGTGTCAGTGAGGGAGAAGCGGCAATACTCTCTTTCTAGCTGCCACTCATAGATAGCTGTGAACCTCAGCTCGCTCCCTCAGATCCACTAGTTTTCCAAAGGTGGCCTTTCCCGGAGGAAGATATTTATGACCTTAACCTATATCCTGTTACGGGCTGACCTGATGTTTGGGCCATTGTCCCAATTTAGAAAGTTTAGAAAGTTTAATATTCTACTAAAGTTTAATATTCTACTAAGTTTAATATTCTACTAAAAACTACTAAAATGTTATGCTGTGGACAAGCTTCTTGCTATACCAATAGGCATAAATACATGGATAAATGTATATGTAGAAGTGTTTTGGGGCAAGTTTACTTAATTGCATTGGGAAACAGATAATAATAATGTCTACCTTACAAAGAGTACTGATAGGATTAAATGAGTGAAAGCCCTTAGCACAATGCCCAGCACATAGCAGGTTGCTCAATAAACACAAAATACTAAAAATATTGTGTAGGGAAGGTGCTCTTTGTACTAACCAGTTTGCAAGGGGATAGAGGGAATTGTATCTACATCCATGGAGGCCCTGATTGGTACAATTTGGCTCCTGTGCAACCTCTGTAGCGCCCATCTTGCACACAAAGAATCTTTATTTTGCAGTTTTCTCAGAATATTAACTAGAACATACAGTCCATGAGAACAGGCTCTGTGTCAGCCTTCCTCACTCTGTGTCCCCAGGGACAGACACAGAGCAGGTACTCAAGAAATATTTGTCAAATGAATGAATGAATGGAGAGCCCAGTCTGAAAATATTCCCTGAAGGCTCACAATCTAAATTTAAAGCATTAAGAGAAGAGATTCAGTGTCTTGGGTGTATGGGTGGTTGGGGAGTTGGGGTGTGGACACAGGCTCAGGGACTTATATGGACATCCAGACATTAAAGAGCACCCATTCAATTCAGAGACTTCATGTAGTCACTGTCCTACGCCCCTGTGCATGCAAAAGTTAGTAAGATGTGGCCCCTTCTAAAGAATTTTAAGGTAGCCAGGGAAGATCAGAAGAGAATACAAAGAACAGTTGTACCCGGATGTGATACATATTGCAGAGGCTCAGAGCACCGTGGGAGTATCATGGGACCCGGGCCTTCAAGGGGGCGTAAGCTTTGGCTAGAAAGTAACAGGTGCTGCTGGAGAGGTTTCAGATGGAATGGCACAAGCCAAGGTCCGGGAGCTGGCACCAGCTTCCTTGAAGGACTAGGTGGGAGTTTGTTAGGGAGGAGAGTAGAAGTTAAGGCTGAAAATATGTTAGGCTCAGTTTCTGGATCACCAGTTAAGGAGTTCATTTGGCAGCCATGAAGACTTTTTGAATAATAACAATAATATCTAAGTTGTATAGTGTATCCTTTCTTTACAGACAGAAAAGGGAGGCAGCATGGCATTGGGGTTAAGATCACAGATTCCGGAACCAAGTGTTTTTTGGTTCAAATCCTGGCTCTGTGACTTACTAGCAGTGTGATCTTGAGTAAGGAACTTAGCCTTCCTGGGACTCATGTTTCCACATCTCTAAAATAGGGATGATAACAGTACTTGCCTTATAGAGTAGTTGAGGATTACTGTGAGGTTAAATAAATTAGCATACATAAAGCACTCAAAAGAGTGTGTGGCACATAAGTGCTATGTAAGTGTCCACTGCTATTTAGTATTTTCAAACCCACTATTTCAGTGGTTCTCATACTTTGGCATGTATCAGAGTCTTCCAGGGAGCTTGATAAAATACAAGTAATGGTGGTGTTTTGCTCTCCCTGTACTATCTTTCTAGGAGGTTTTGGCTGTTTCTCCGAGGTTAACTTGCCCTTCCATACACCAACCCCCTAGGTAACCTTTATTCCTCAAAGCCTCCAAGAGCCTTGGAGCATTGAAACACAAGTGTATGGGTGGAGAATGGTCCTCCTGGGTTGAGTGGGGGCATTAATGAGCAAAGTGCTGCCTATGAGCAGTTGGTGGGCTTTACCTGATGGTGAGAAGCCTGGCTGGGCCAATGCTGGTCAAGATGATGCTCATTCTGAAGGAAGATTAAGGTCTCATCCACTCCAAAGGGTTCCTCTCCTTTCCTTCTCTTTCTTTACTTCCAAGAGGTAGGTGGGTGATTCCTGCTGTGTGTTGATGATTGGGGCGAGGTGAGAAAGACCTCAGGGTTCGAGTGAAAATTCAGAGTACGTGGAGGAGAAGGGAGAGGGGGAAGGAACAAACACAGGCTTCTTCTGAGAGCCCGCCTCCCCCCACAATTCAGGGTATTATGAAAATTAGTAACATAGAGGTCAAATGGATCATACTGAATAAATGATGCATCATCTCAATGAGTACGTTTATTTTTAAATTTATTTATTTATTTATTGTTTTAATCGGGGTATAGTTGTCTTACAATGTTGTGTTAGTTTCTACTGTACAGTGAAGTGCAGTTCCCTGTGCTATACAGCAGGTTCTTATTAGTTATCTATTCTAAACATATTAGCAAACACAGATACTTTTCATTATCTCACTTCTTACAGATTCACAGCCCCCCACCTCACGCTACATGGAAACCTATTGAATCAGAATTTTTCAGGGCATTTAGATTTTTTAACAAACTCCATAGTAATTCTCATGCAGACTTGAACTTGAGAAACATTTCTCTGTTAATCAGGTCCACCCAATAACTCTGAAAGGTAGGCAGGTATGATTTTATCTTTCCTATTTTATTGATGAGGAAAATGAGGATCAATGACACTTAGATGACTTGTTCAGGGCTTGACTCCAGGTCTGACCCCAGGTCTTAGGCCATTTTCCTATACAAGGTCAAAGGCTTTTGAGCAAAAGCATGGAGACTTAAAATAATCTGGCAGCTTTGGGGAGTAGGTTGGAAGGGGAAGCTCTTATTCTGAGATTAATACTATTTAATTCTAATCAATTCAGCAAATTTCATTGCATTGAGTTCTTTCTTTGCACAGCACACTATTAGGATGTCCTCAAAACCGTTCCAGTGGGATGTAGGAAAGGTATAAACCATCCACTTCTTGGTATTCAAAGGGGCTTCCTACTGCACTTATGGATGACTCAGTTATGATAACCCTAAAATTTGGGTACTTGTTAAAAAGCGTGTGGTTAATTCCGCCCCCCCGACCCCCGATATTACATTGAAGAACATTTTCTTTATGCAGATAGCCTGCCCAAGAAATTCAAAGACCAATTTTAAACTATTTCTTAACTACCACCATCCTCCAATTCCCTTCCAATCCTGTACCCGCAGAAGGAAGCAAACATAATACTCCCTATTGCTTTAGTAGGAAACTCATATTTAAGGAGCACCATATTTAACTGGGCAGAAAGCCTCTCGTATCTCCAGCGAGATTCCTCACCAGTTGCACAGCTGTCTCTCCTATGGTTCTTGGCTCATTCCTTATGTGCAAGTTTTTAATGCCAATATGTACCAGTCCTAAAGGTTTGTCTCACTCACTTCCTAGAGAGTGTAATTTACTTATTTTCATATCCCCCTATAACGTTGCTCATAGTAGTGCTTAATGAATATTTGTTGAATGGATATAAGAATAAAGAAGACATAGGCCCAGAACAGTCCTCAAAAATAGGTGGCAGCATTGGAAAAAACTGTATATGATTTAAGGAGTAATTAATAGTATTTCATGCCACAAAAATCTTTTCTACAATTTGTCATGCTGCCTGAAGTTCTTCCATTGGGATTTATTCTATTATGTCTTGAAGACTTTTTGATTTTCAAAAGTATCCTATTAAAAGAAATGGACTTCTGGGTTCTGACAGTATATTGTCTGGTAGGTCTTCTCTCATAAAACTTCAAGAAAAAGCACTAATGAATGGCACAGACAGTTGTCCTGCAGGGAAGAGAGAGTGTAGCCTGGAGTGCCAAGAAAAGGGAAGAACTTGGCTTTGAAAGGACTTTGTTTTCAGAGGCAGAGAGGAGGAGGGAGATGTAGGCTGAAGGGAGCAGCGAAGATCCCCTGGGGAGTGAGTCTTCAGGCATCCTTCTCAAAGTTGGCATCACTGATTTTTCATTTCTCATTGCTGAATTTTTTATAGGTTTCTTTTTCAGGAAGAAAACAGTCGTGTCCCAATTGGGTTTTCCAGACCTTGGTTATAACTCTCATTGCTGTGATGGCATTTTGGTAAGAAAAACATCAGTGTTGTGCTATGTCAAGCTCTTTTTCTCGTCCCATCTCCCTTTTCTCACACATGAACTGGGGACTGACTTTCTATTTACTTTGAAGACAAGGAGCCCTTTAAACCAGACATTGGCCTTTGATTTAGCTTAGAGATACAGGAGCCCTTTATAAACTCATACTTTGAAGAAAAGAAGCACAGGCTTTCTGCTCTTAAATATGAGATAAAGGATGATCTTTTTTTTTAATCAACTGATATTTCTTACCCGCTCGCTCCCTGTGCCTTTCGTGTGTGTGTGTGTGCGTGTGTATCTTTTTTAGCCTTGCAAATAACTTTCTCAAAATCTTTGCTCTCCTTCCTATCTACTTAGGCGAAAAGAGTGAGTAGGTAGTCAGGTACAATCCACTCTCCCATGGATATTCATATTATTAGAATTCTTCTGGATTTTATACCAAAAGAGACTGAGATTACCCCAAGATATGCAATATGATGAAGTTGTAGCCAAAGGTACTAAGCAGTTAAAGCAAACAAATACATTTGCTATGCAAGCACCACGTGCCTTTTGACTGCCATCCCTCCTTCGCAGGGAGGACGGGTCATCCTTTACTGGGATGAGGGGTCTTTATCAGGTCTCTGGTCTTCAGGCTCGTGCTGCTGCTATGATGGCTCCTCAGCCTTTGAGCCCTGGTCATCTTTCCTGTGTCCTCCTCGCCTTCTTGTTTTCGGTCTATTTACATGGTGGAAGGGGTATTTATCTATCCCTCCAAAAATGCTTTGTAGTGTGGAAAAGGACTAGCTTCTGGGCCTTGTCTCAGAGGAGACAATTATCCTCAGAGGCTAAGTAAGGGATGGTCCCAAGGATGCTTCCAGTTTCTTGATCCAAAGCAGCTTCTCAGTTATAGGAGACATTGTGGGTCCTGTACCCTTATCTCCCCTCAGCATTTTAACTTTTCACTTGCTACTGCCCACTGCAGGAAGCATCCCCAAGTATTTGACACCACTACATAGAATTCGCAGTAGAAGCTGGTGTACTTTTCTCACTCTCCTAAGTGAACTTGTCTTCTTCTGGGATTCCCAACTCAGGAGAGTGTGAGCATCTACTTTGCACAGACATGCTTAACATTCTCTAGAGACACAGATTCCCATGAAAATCCAATGCAAAGCTTATAGGAAGTCTAATTTTGATATGAAGAGACTGCTTTTTAAATGTGCTTATCAGATCGTACAAATTCCAATGTTGTTGACCTCTAAGACCAGAAATGGGAGGTATTGGGCTTATTGTCTTGTTTCCAGCCTGTGGTGTACCTGAGAAGGGTCAAAACCCTAAAGAAAGAAGCAGATGTCTATTTCATTCTGTGGTCCTAGAAGTTGCCCAGGCCATGCAATGATGCAGATGGCAAACAAATCAGAAAGAGTATTTAAGGATTAGTAATAGGGAGATAGGAAATGGGGAATGTGGGAGAACAAAGGGAGACTGGACCACAGCAAGTAGTTGCCAGGGCGACGCCACAGGTTCTGTCTAACGGCACCCTTGGAGCTCAGCACCGCTTCTCCCAGGCAGGGCTGTGCCCGCTGGGCAGTGACCAGCTGCTGCTGAGAACACTCTGGGGACCCTTTCCTCATGAGCAGAATTCAAATGTGTGGCACATTTCTTGGTGTGTATTTAATGATGGTAAATCCACGACCTTTGGTGGGGAAAAAGATATCAATACTAATGAGGAGTTGAGTCTAGAGAACCAGATGTGACATCAAGCCGGCAAGAGGTCAAGTAAGGTCCCCTGTGTCAGGCCCAGCACACGGCGGGATTGTAGAGAGAGTTCTAGAGACACCCTCGAAAGAGGAGAATGCTGAGTGTTTGGATGTGTGAGCAATATTGGGAAGAGCTTCCCAAAGCTCAGGACCTTTAAGGTAAGCTTCCTTTTGGCTATATAAGTGCTGATAATTGGGGGGAAAGATACACTCATTATTTTGAAGTCATGTAGTGTGGAAATGGATGCTTTATTGTACTTTTTTCCTTCCTTTGTCCAATTTGGTGTATTGTGCTCTGAAAAGACAGGCAGCAGGAAGATGTCAGAAGTGGCCAAAGGGTTTGGCACCTACTGCTGACTAAACCTGTGTAGCCTTTCATTTCCCAACACCACAGTGTGGATGCCCTCCACCAGGGGGATATGAACTTTGCTCTGAGTTTTTCCTGCAAGGAGCACAGGGCTGCCTCCAGTGATTTACATGCTTCCTCTTGTAATCTTCCACTAGTGACAGACGTTTCTGAGACAGCTTGCCAGGGCCAGGGGGCTGCTTTGTGGAAAAATCCGTCAGCCCGGAGTAGCCAGGGAGCCTCTGAGCTCCGGGAAGGTTGGGGGCTTTTTCTTACCAGGGCTGAGAGGCAGAACTGTGCTGGCTTCCATGGCGCTTCTGTCAGCCCTGGCCGCCTGCCCCCTCCTCTCCCATCTGTGTGGCCTGGGAGAAGACATCTCTGGCCAGCTGGTTGTGTGAGATATATCTGGAATCAAATCTGCCACATAACTCTTTCTTTCTTTTTTTTAAACAGTGGCTTGACAATAGTCTCCCTTTACATACTTAGCTTAAAAGATCAAGACCGATGTACCCCAAGTCTCCCTTTGAGGTGAGAGTTCCAGTCTTGTTTTCCTTTGGGGAGAAGGATTCTTGAAGGCCTCTTTCATTAATTACTTTGTTCTCCTCCTCCAGCAACCTCACCAGCTCCCAGGATCCGGCTCTGCCACCCACAGCTTCCCCCTTGGGTAAGATCGTCACATTCCTCACCCTCAAACCCAGCCTGGGTTTCATGTGAATTGTCAAGAGAAGAACCAGCCTTTCAGGTTAACCTTGTCACTCTCCTCCCCTCTGTCCAATGCCTTGCAGCACCTAATACATCTCTGGCAACCACACAACCCCCCTTCCAAGTACCAGAGATCACTTTCTGTGAGATCCTGCCATGTCAGGAGACTTACTGCTGTCCCAACTGGGGAACAAGAGGCGGCCTCTCAAGCCCTGTGCAAAGACAGCCCAAGGAGAAGGAGCCCCATCAGAGGCCATGGGCAGGTAAAGAATGTTCAAAGAGTAACAACTAGTGCTTTGAACCTGAGGTTTTCCCCTCCTCACTATTTACTTGGATAGTCTGTTAATGGTTCCACTCTTCTATTTGGGGTGGCAAGATCTTTGAAAACACAAATACACAAACTTGTAATCACTTGTAATATTGAGTTCCCCACCCAGGGATGAAATTTTGGTTGATTCAAGTGACAGGGTCTCATTTGTTCACTGCCAACCAAGATAGTAATAGTAGCACAAGAGAAGTAATTATGTGAAGATGGGTAGATCTTTTTGGCTCACTTAGAACTTATAAAATGATATGGCATCTGGGCTCTCTGCCCAAACTAAAAGGCTATCAAGATTCTAATGAGTTCAGGGTAAGCTTTAAGTCCCTGAAAAAGGCTTCCACTTTCAGATTATCCTCCTCCTTGGGACACACACACACACACACACACACACACACACTCACAGAAAGTGAGAAATTCTCACTGAGAATTTTCATGTTAAAAAAATTGGGACTTCCCTGGCGGTCCAGTGGTTAGGACTCTGTGCTTCCACTGAAGAGGGCAGGGGTTTGATCCCTGGTCTGGGAACTAAGATCCCACATGCCGTGCGGCCAAAAAATAAATAGATAAATATAATAAATTATGGAAACTTGATCAAGGACTAAAAGTGTAATTATCTCTGTAAGATCAAATACTGTACATCCCAATGTATACTAAGTTATTATTGTTTCTAGAACTCTCCTTCTGTATACACACATTTTAACAAGTGTCTAAAATAATGATGAGGATGATGCTAATAATAACAATACATACATATCAGTGTGACTTATCAATTAAGATGCTGTGGTAACAACAACTCCCAAATCACTGTGGCTTAATGTGACAAAAATGTATTTGACTCTCTCTATATGTCAAATGTCGATCAAAAGAGGGATCTTGTTCATCACGCCATTCAGGACTCAGCTGATAGAGACTCCTTCTCAGTACATATTTCCACAGCCTCTATAGAGGTGGTAAGAGAATGGGGCAAATTGTGCACTGGCTCTTACAGCTTCCATGTGGGTGTAACACAAGTCACTTCTGCTTACATGTTACTGGCCAAAGCAAGTGACATTGGTCATGTCTAATTTAAAAACAGTTGGTGAAGTGCAGACCTAACACATGCCTGGAAGAAGATGAGCCAGAATATTTTTGAGTAGACCTAATGACTAATGACATGTAGACTATGGTCAGTGGTTGAAGTTTGGGGGCAGAAGTGTAATTTCCTTTGATATTATTTCATATTCGAGGCGTGAATAAATAACTTCTACAAATCACCATCACCACCATCATCAGTAACAGCACATAATGAGGTGTTACTATTGTATGCAAGGCACTGTCATAAGTAGGCTACACGAGTAAGTCCTTTAGTCCTCACAAGCTTGAAAGATAGGCACTGTCATTATCCCCTTTTTTTTTCCAGTGAGAAGCTAAGGCACAGAGAGTTTTCCCCCGCACCTATAGGAGGCAATGCTTGTAGTGTTTTTCTCATGAAAGCAATTTTTCATTGAACTTGGGAACAGATGCATCACTATAGAGTGAGGATAAAAGTTCAATGTGAAGGAAGAAATTTTCAGTTTCGGACATCATATCCTCAATAGTTTTAAATATGGAAAAATCCATTACTGTCTCAGAAATGCCCCAGAACCTCCCTTCCCTTTTTAAAGCACGTGGAACCTTGTGGCTGGTAACCCTTTTCCTCACCTTCGGAGTCCACCTTGAGGATACTGGGTGTCATTTTCTGAGAGCAGTGCTCAAATGAGACCATCTGACCCATGTGAGGTGGATAACAATGAATCCTGAACAGGAAGAGGTTGGGAACTGGCCCAATCTTCATTTTCAGAAAGTTTTTTGACCCTTGAGCAAATTCACTCCCATAGCAACCAGCTCTTCACATCACGGGGATATTGGGAAGAGTAGCCCTTATCAAACCACATGGAAGGTTTATTGCCATCTTCTCTGGGACAATGAGTGTCTGCTCATCTTATGTTTCCATAACGATGAGAGACACTGAAGAGACTCCTAAGAAAGAAGATTTGCTCCAAGGTGTCTGGCTCTGTCCTCCTAGACACGGCTATCATCAGCTTCTCTGGCTAAAAACGGAGTTTAAATTCTGCTTTATCAGGCTCTCTGACACACTGGGAAAGTTGTTTCCCTCTTCCCTCTTTCAACTTGAGAAAAAAACGGAAAGGATTTAAATGTTCTATTTACTATAACCTTCAGGAAACTTGAAAACTCTGGGGGATTTAGAGTCATAGAAGGTCAGAGAGCAGCTACACCAGTGGCTCCCTGACTTTTTGACCCCGAGATTATGAATCCATTATGCTTTTACAATTATTTGACTGAGAAAGTACGTAGAGGGAGAATGTAACTATAAATTCTCTTAAGCTTTTAATCAAATTATTTTTGTTAATTCAACAGCAACATTTGAAAAATGGTACAAATCTATGGGAGAGACTGTTACTTTTCAAGTCCACAGCCAACACCACAGACCCCTTTATGTAATCATCTGGGATTCCAGAGTCCCCAGGTCAGAAGAATCTCTGATTTATACCAATTTACCCATTTTATGACTGATGAAATAGAGGCTGAAGACTTTGCTTAAGATTCTGCAGTGAATTATGAGCAAAGTAGAAATCGAAATCTGGGTCCCCTGTCCCCACCATTCTGCCTCCACTTATTTGGGCTTGGTGTGTGCATGTACCTGGGAACAACTCTAGAAGATGCAGAAAGTATCTACTCTATGGCTCTAGAAAGCCCTTTCAGCACCCTCTGCCCCCTCCCCTTTGCCTACAGCCATTAAAAAAAAATGTTATGGAAATATAGTTGATTTACAATGTTGTGTTAGTTTCAGGTGTACAGCAAAGTGAGATAAAAATATATATAAGATTCTTTTCCATTATTTGTTATTACAAGATATTGAGTATAGTTCCCTGTGCTATACAGTAGGTCCTTGTTGGTTATCTATTTTATATATAGTAATGTGTATATTTTAATCCCAACCTCCTAATTTATCCCTCCTCCCCTTTCCCCTTTGGTGCTATAAGTTTGCTTTCTATGTCTGTGAGTCTCTGTTTTGTAAATAAGTTCATTTGTATCATCTTTTTAGATTCCACATATAAGTGATATCATATGATATTTGTCTTTGTCTGACTTACTTCACCGATAATCTCTAGGTCCATCCATGTTGCTGCAAATGGCATTATTTCACTCTTTTTATGGCTGAGTAATATTCCGTTGTGTGCCTATAGCCACTGAGATGTTGTCCCCAGTGTGGGATATTTCTGGGGGCCCGAAGAAAAGCATTTCTCCTCTGCTGCTACTCCATCTTTTGCCTCTGTCCAGGGCAACATATGACATCAGGGTTCCTAAATCCAAAAGAAGAGAAAACCAGGCAAATATTCTTTTCAACAAGATGTTTCTGAGGCATTTAAGACCAATTACAAATTTAAGAATAAAAATTTTTTAATTAAAAAAACCTTAGACTAACTCTCAGTGAGATGTGGAGTAATATTTAATAGTTTACCAAGCCCCAGAACACATTTATGAGCCTCCTTCCTGAGGAGTAAGACTACTAGTAAAATAAGTACAGGGAAATCAGCATTTTTATGACATGCTGAGCTCAAGCCATTATTCTTCCTTTGGGCCTAAGTTGGTTGCTTAAAATGTCTTTCAGAAAGGTTATCCCCTCTTCTCACACTTTAATAAAAGGTTTGCGTAAGACTAATAGGAAGTGGAAAGTGGGTATTTCAAAATATTCAGATTCTACTCTGAGGAACTGAGTGTGATGCATCAGATTTTAATCTATGGAACTAATAAAGATTTAAATAGGCAGCAGAGTTAGATATTAAAAACTTAAGAGCCTGTGGGAAAAAGCATCAGTGGAGTTCTACAGATTTTAAGAGATTTGGTAAAGACTTTTAAAATCTCACAAAGCAAAAGGCATCTGTAATTCATGCTTATTTTGATTTGGAGACCAGACCTCTGAGAAGAGTCAATGATTGAAAGAAAATGTTTCCCCGTGTTAAAGGACTCAGTCGTCGATTGGTTGGGCTCATTGACTTTTTCTTGCCCTGAGCCTGTTTTAATCATGAAAGAAAAAGGTATCCAAGATGTATTGGGAATCAGCCATCAGTGCAGTTTTACAAGTAGTGCAATACACACATTCTACCACGACAGGATATACTTTGGTTGGACACCATCTTAAGTCTCTCCTCTCCAGAAGTTTCTAATTTAGTTTATGGGGAGATCTCATCTGCTGATTGTGAAATATATCTCCAACTTTACGATGGAAACCATTGGGAATGTATATTAACTTTATAGGGAATATTGCTGGAAGGCACTTGTAAAATGAGAGCCACCCCTGTATGACTACAGGAGAATTTATGGTTTTCCAATAACCAGCCTTTCGGAATTGAATAGTCTTGCCTCAGAGAAGTGACAAAGTCGAGATGTTTTACAGGAGACTCAAAATTTATTTCCAATTCTGCTTTTGAAAAGCCATTTTCATAATTCTAAGCTGTAAGATTATCTCTCCTCAACTTCACCTTTTTATTACTGTTAAAAAACACTTTATCCCATTAGATGCTAAATCTTAATCACAGGGTTCTACGTCTCCAGGAATCCAGAAATACACTTCTGTGGAAGTAAGACAACTCTGTAGTTCTATTGCCAGACTTTACAATTACGTTTTTTCTGAAAATTCAGCAGGAAAATAGAACAAAAGGTAGGGAAAGAAAACAGACAGGATAGAGAAGTCGGGTTTCCCCTTCTCTTTATGCCTCATTTGCCTTGTAAATAAGCCTTCTATGGAAGCAGTCATAAGCAAAACTCATAGCAGGAGACATGTGCTCGAAAATTACTATTTGAATAGCTGGAATCCAAGAAATCTGGAGGCCTTTTAGACAGTACACACATTTTTAGGTAAAGGGAAATATTCAGTTTTCTAGAAAATCACCATATATCAAGGTCCATTTCTTCTTAAAGGGAAGCATCACGCTGGGGAGGAATTTCAGGAAACTTCCCTCACCTTCAAGTTCTCTCACTTCCATTTGCTAACAGGATGAAGAAGCCCAGCTCCCCCGAGTCCACTCCTAGCACCCCTCTACACCCATCCCCTAGGGGTGTCTCCTTTGAGTGTGGAAGAGGAAACATTTTTCTAGAAGATACATGATTGGCTTTCCCTGCTCCCTTCCTCTTTTCCTGACTCTCCTCCTTCCATCCTTCCACAGATATGTAGTGAGCCCCACAGTTGAGCCTGGCATTGCCTTATGTGGGGATACAATAGTGAACAAGATGCAGTCTTCCAAAAGCTCACAGTTAGGTTTCTAGACAAGAAAACCAGCCCTTCCACTTAGTGTGAGAAGTACTAACCTGGACAGATACTTAGGAGCGACTAACCCCCAGAAGTCTGCACCGTTGCTTTGCTTTCTACCCTGAAATTCCATACAGAAACTTGTTTTAGCTCTTGTCTCTTTTTCTTTCCCATGAAAGCAGCACATATTGTTTTAACTTACGTCTCTTGTTAAATAAGGTTAACGTCTTTGTGTTTTGCCCCAAATTATATTGAAAAACATATTGTTTAATGAAAATGAAGGACTGCAATAAAGAGTACATATACTTGAGAAAACATCTGCAAATTTAAAAACTGACTGCAAAAACTTTAAAATTCTTTTGTTGGGTTTGCTTAACAATTCACTAAATGGTTGCTTTTACCATCCACTTTAAAAAGATACATTTTTTTCCCCATAGCCTTAACAATAGTCATCTGAGTGGTTACCTTTTCAATATTGCTTTTAAAATGCCTTTTCGACTCTGACGGGTCATAACCACTCCCCTGGCTTCCTTCCCCACAAGCGAGCTCTGGCCCCATACCAGTGATTTGAGTCCTCTCCTCAGCTGGCTGCAGCTCAGTTTTTAACTTAAGCTCGCTTTTTTCCTGAGTGGATCACATTATGCTTGGAGTTATAGATGATTCAAAGAATGTTAGTAGAGGTTCCCTATTCTGGAGTTTTTGAAAAAGGGCAAAGATACAAGAAAAGTAACAATCCAGAGGTAATGTGCCCTTTGGTACAGTGATAGAGAAGGTATCACTGATTGATCACCACTTAGAGGATTCGGTAATAATACATGCCGTGGCAGTGGAAGTGGGGGAGCTGTGAGCTGCAGTGATCTAATCCGGGATGGTGTCTTAGTCGGCTGGGGTTGCCATAACGAAATGCCACAGACTAGGTGACTTAAGCAACAGAAATTTATTTTCTCACAGTTCTGGAGGCTAGAAGTCCAAATTAAGGTGCTACCAGGTCTGGTTTCTTGAGGCCTCACTCCTTGGCTCAAAGATGGCCGCTTTCTCTCTGTGTCCTTACAAGGTCTCTCCTCCATGCAAGCAGGCCTCTTCACGTCCTAATCTCCTTTTCTTATAAGAATGCCACTCGGATTGGATTAGGGCCCACACTAACAGCCTCATTTTAATTTAATTATCACTTTAAAGGCCCATCTCCAAACACAGTCACATTCTGAGTGAGTTACCAGGGGTTAGGGCTTCATGCATAAGAACTTGGAGGACATAATTCAGTCCGAAACAGGTGGCTTTTTGGAGAAGGGTGACAGTAAACTAGCTCTGTATGAAATGGCATAGGGATGTGATGGGTTGAAAGGTGGGGGAAACATTCAACTGACAAGAGACAAACTAGGGCACACACCGGGTTTCTTCTCATCCTGAACAAGCTTCAAGACTGACAGACTTTCTTCCTCTTCAGGAGACAGGAGCACATCATTCTTGGCAGGACAGGCGCTAACCAACCTTGACTGGGGGAGCGACTGTAAGTTTGTATTTAAGTGACTCTCTTCTTTGTTTTTGTGGAGCCAGGCAGAATACTAACAAGCTGTGAAAGCATTACTGGAGTAAGGCACAGGGACGGAGGCTGCACTCTGCCACAAACACCCGTGGGAGTACGTTTTGATAATCGACGCCTCCCTAACCATTAAGGAGGCATTAGAAATGGTTGCATACCGCTAGGCCTTTTCGTTGATCTTCATGGATTTTAATAATTTATTTGAACTTCCTGCTCTCTTCTTCTATGTTTCTGCTAAATTTTTAGTTGGTTTTGTGTTTTCTGATTTTTGTTGAATCTTTCTTTATTGGCCAGATTGCATATCACATTGCGCTCTCCATTTTCAATAAATCTCAATTTAGTAGGACTTCCACGATCCAGGCATTCTTTTGGATATTATGAGGCTGTCTATTGGAGCTTGTTTTTTTTTTTTTTTTTTTTTTTTTTAGTTTTCTTAAAATTTACTGTAACAACAACAAAAGCCTTCTCCCCTTTTTTCTCCTTTTTTCCCCCATTTGAATGCAAATGGAATCCATTTATCTAGGAAACTCTTATTTCACATTCTGCAATTTGGAGCCTGCGCTGGAGCACAATGCTCTTTTTCTCTGCAGAAAAGTTTACTTTATTTCTTCTCAATTCAGGGATTGATACAACCATCAGTTCTATTCAGATTATGGAAATCCAGCAAATAATAGATCGTCGGTATTGCAGTAGAAGCCTCCAGTGCGGGTGGGTAAGCCTCCCCATTATCCCCTGATTGTTTCTGGAATTTACTCAGGGCTCTGGGTTTTTGAGACTGGAATGAAAGCTAATGCTACCCAGTAAAACCGATGTGTGCTTACATTGCTCCTTAAGTGAAAACACATTTGTTGCATGGTGGAAGAGGGAATCATAAAATGGTTGGTATTAGCAAATGTCAATAAACCACGGCTCCAAAGATTACAGTCTCCTGGTTTAATGGGTAAGTCCAAAGCTAAAAGCTTAGGGGGCAGCTCTGTGGCTGACTCTCTGAGGCCACATACCATAGGCACAGAGCTGTTAGTTAATTTTATAGAAAAGAAAGACATTATTACTGATGGCTCCAAGTTATGAGTGAGCTGACATTTGTATATTTTAATAACAAGGGATATCATTATTTTAATTGCTGAAAAATATAGCTTATCCTAACCTTTTCAGTTAAGAGAAAAAAATCTGGGTACTGCAAAAGTTATCAGCAATGTTCATCTCTAGTGTATCGCCTGCATCAAGGTAACAATGCATCTAGACGCATAGAGGGCAAGCATAGAAGCTTCAGCAAACACAATATGCAAGTTGTAGGCATTAAGAATAAGGAGTTATTTTTCTTTATTTGATCAGTATTTACTGGTTTAGTTAAGCCTGCTAATATTTAAGCCTGCTAGGTTAAAGGCAAGGCTGTGTATTTTGAATTGGTGTCACAAATCCTACGGATTCTCAGCCTTATTTCTTTTTCAGCCTAATGTACCTTAGGCTTCAGGCTGATGGTCCTGACTTTTGAAAATAACCTGTATGGTGCTTTATGATTTGTTTATGACCTTTACATTCATTATCTCATTGAATTCTCACAAAATCACATGAGGTTGGTATTATCCCCATTTTGCTGTTACAAAACTTGAGGCCCAGTGAGCTTGAAAAAGTCAGAGACAGACATAATTGGTTTGGTAGAATGACATAATGAAGAGTGAGATGATTTGGGTTCAAATTCCAGCACTTTGACAAGATGTTTATTCTCCCTGCGTACCCGTTTCTCATCTGTAAGATGAGGATACTTACTAGCTAAGGAGTTGGGTGCCTGGAAAGCACACAGATGTTGGGAGGCACATAGTAGGAAAAGATATTTACCCAAGCTTCCTCCAGTAGGACAAAGCCCTCCCGATCCCAGTTCAGATCTATTGCTTTTATTTTTGCTTTATTTTTAACAACCCAGTTTAATATTCATTAACGGAAATTTTAAATGATTGGCTCTTTCCCCCATTTATCTGGTTTTAAGTTATTTCTCCATATAATTCAAGGGATGGCCAGTCATAAGAACTTGTATTAGATACAATAAGCCTTTTTGTTAGGGTTTTCATTACAATAGGGATCAATGGAACTCCCCCCTTTCCCTAAGCATCCCTCGTCAAGGGCGGGAGGAATGTCTGTATAAGCATTTCTGTCTTGCAGTTTTCTCCATTACTAAATGGTAATTAGGACTATAATAATTTTAGTTGATTCCAGTTCTGAAAGTACATGATATTTCCTGCTAATGTTGCCTAAAAGGGAGTGATTTACTGTAAAAAAGCTGGTATTTATTATTTCCAATTTTCCTTTCCAGAGGGATTGTTAGTTTGAGGACTTTGCCTCATTTGTCTTCTGAAATCTGTATCTCCTTAAGGGGAACTGAAGTCATTTCCTATTTGTTTAGTTTTGTGCATATGGTCTGGGATTTGACTTTCTGTCATTTCTTCTGTGTATTTTAACAAACCATAAATCTTTGTGGTATATTTCATATATAGTAAGATCCGAAAGAGATCACTTTGAAATTTAAACTTGATTTTCTGTATCTGTTACGTATTACAGAATATTTCACAGTTTACATAGTATACAAAAAGTAGAAAAAACCCTTTTGAACCCTTTCCTGAGTATTTTGATTTGTGTTTTTTTTTCCATAATTAGGTCTGGAAATTACAATTACCATATTCCTGTTAATAAGCACACACCCACCAATGTAAAATTCTCTCTGGAAATCAAGTAAGTGCATAGCTGTAAAAGACAGTTCTGTTTTTATCATTATTTGAATAACAATACTGAATTTCCTTCACAATTTGATCAGTAAGTTAGGAGGTGGAAAGTTATCAGTTAAAGAATAATGGTTGGGTTGAGAGTTAGGCCAGCTTGAGGGAGGGGTTCTCAAAATGAAGGTTGGGGCCTTCCAGGCTCCCTCCAGTGGAATGGAAAGGCTCTGTGCTGTATACCTACAAAGTGACAGTGACCCTGGGTTTGATGCTCTCAGACTGCCCCTGGCTGTGTCCCTTGGAATTGGGGTGGGAACTAGAGTAATAGTGTGGCCCTGGCCCCCTGGATGTGGGGGGCTGCACATTTTTGTGAGCTTCTGGGAGCAATGCTAATGCAGACACCACCCCCTTCCCCCAAGGGAGTTGAAAAAAAGAAGTCAGAGTTTGGAGGTGGGCAGACCAGTGTTCAGATTTTGTCTCTGTCACTTACTAATTCTGTAATCTTGGGGAAACCACTTATCCTCTCTGAGCTACTGTTTATTCATTTATAAGATGTGTTTGACATTATACCATAACAAGGAGAGCTGCTGTGAGAATCACAGATAATAACAGTGAAATTAATAACTACCATTTGCTGAGCACAGACTATATGCCAGACACTCTACACTTTACTACTGGGTCATATAATCCTCTCAACAACCCGCTGAGGTTGGCATTTTTTTTTTCTAGTTTATATTTTTCAGATGGGAACACTTAGTTTAGAGAGGTCAAAAAGCCTGTCCCAAAACTCATAGCGAGTAAGTGGTGGAGCTGGGCCTCAAATCAGCCCTTCCTTTTAACCATCACTTTCCTGCCTCCCCAGTGACATGAGATATTTAAGAACATTGCCCCTTCCTGGCACATAGCAGGCACTTCATATTATGACTGCCTTTCCTCCAAAAATCACAAAACTCTAATCTATTTTATCAGCTATTTAAAATAATTATGGTACTTTAAAACTTTTGCAGAAATTATGCAGTGAGATACCATGCAGATAGATGGTGTTTATTTTGTGTCTCTTGATGTCAGTTTCTTCTTTGTCCCTTCCACATTTCCTCTCTTCTCCCTTTCCTTTCTCCCTTTCCTCTGTCCTCCCCACTTTCCCTCCGTTTCCACAGCTCTGTTACTCTTCCTCCATCAGTCCCTCCCCGCTCCCCACCCCATCTCTTCCTCTGTTTCACTCAGACTTCATACTCCTTCTCTCATCCACTTTGCTTCTACAATGAGGTAATGACACACGCCAACTGCTTGCCTTGGAAAGGTTTGTTTCAAGCAGCTAAAATTCCATGACTTAGAACCCACCATATTTACAGGCAGAGCAAAAGCTAAATGTACTATTCTCTAGCACTCTCTAAGCAACCTGGAACATCGTTTCCTCATTCGTTCCTAGCTTCGATGGAGGGAAATAAGTGAAGTGGTATATCCCCTGAAGTGGCAGAAGGTCATCTTGAACCACTAAATCAGGCTATTTTTTTTTTTAATATAAATTTACTTACTTATTTTTTGGCTGTGTTGGGTCTTTGTTGCTGCTTGTGGGCTTTCTCTAGTTGCGGTGAGCGGGGGCTACTCTTCGTCTTGGTGTGTGGGCTTCTCATTGCAGTGGCTTCTCTTGTTGCAGAGCACGAGCTCTAGGCATGTGGGCTTCAGCAGTTGTGGCGCACAGGCTTAGTTGCTCTGTGGCATGTGGGATCTTCCCGGACCACGGCTCGAACCCGTGTCCCCTGCATTGGCAGGCGGATTCTTAACCACTGCGCCACCAGGGAAGCCCCTAAATCAGGCTTTTTAGATTAAGAACCATTTTTTTCTAACATGGGTGATCTTAAAATAACACATATACTCAACCGAGATTGCAGGTTGTCCCACTTGTGCAAAAATATTGTTTCCAAAGACCGATGGATCTCATCCTCTTGATGATGATTCTTGGGCCAGCCTCCAGAGAAGAACCATTCTTTCTGACAGGTCTTCCACCCTGATACTTGAAGGGCTTATAATTCCTAACGGGGCTCACCTGCACATCCCTACCTGTGTTGTTTGCCTCTCTGATTCAAACAATACCTACCCAGAGCAGGAGTCTGCAGAATCTGAAATCCTGGAAACTTCAGATGGAAGCAAATTCAGCTGCCAGTGAAAAGAGAAGGAATACATCCAAAAATTATTTAAAAATCTAGGAAGATAAGAATTTCTGATGTTGAGGTGATTTAAGTCATGAGATTAGGTTTTAGAGACTGTCATGTGTTATCTCAGTTTTAGTTTTAGTCAGTTCCAGGCTACTGTAACAAGAACCCCATAGACTGGGTGGCTTAAACCACAAACATTCATTCCTCACAGTTCTGGAGATTGGGAAGTCCAAGATCAAGGCACTAGCAGATTCGGTGTCTGGTGAGAGTCCACTTCCTGGTTGATAGGTAGCCGTCTTCTCTCTATGTCCTCACACGGCAGAATGGATGAGAGACCTGGGCTCCTTTTTATGAGGTCACTATTCCCACTCATGAGGGCTCCACCGTCATGACCTGGTCACTTTCTAAAGGCTCTACCTCCTAACACCATCACATTAGAGGTTAAGATTTAAACATACGAATTTTGGAGAGGACACATTCAGTCCATAACAGTAGTCATCTGAGATTGAGTTTCTGTTATAATGAGATGTGAACTAGTATATTGGCATCCGTGAGCTTTGTGTAATAACATGCCTATTTGGAACTTTGAATGGATTTCCAAGGTATGTTCCCATTAGCCCCTCTTCTTATCAAGATGTAGCCTAGTGGGAGCTGGTAACTTCTTTTCCATTTGCCCTTTCTTTTTTTTGTCTCTTGAAGCACAACAGAGCCACTGATAGTCTTCCAGTGCAAGTTCACCCTTGGAAATATGTGTTTCCATAGTAAAAGGGAAGCCAAAGGCATGCAAAGCCACCAAGAAGTCTCCCAGGAGATGACACAGGTAACGTTTTCCAGCTCCTCGGCATTCCGTCCCCATTCTAGAAGAAGTGTGTCTACAGTTGTGGCACAGCCTCTGTTCTTCACTGAGAGAGATGCCATGAGCCACAGGCCAATGTTTCCCTTTGCTGGCTCTGATCACAGAGCTTTGTTCAGCATCTTCTATGCATCCTTCAGAAGCTGCAGAGTTTTCCAGCAACACCATCAAAAGCTGTTGTCACAAATACCTCTCCTACAGCAGTCAAGGGAATGCTTTTTCAGCCTATGTTCTTTCCAACTGAGTGTAAAATACAGTTATGAAATGGATCTCTCTCTCTTTCATTCATTATTTAGGGATATCAGCACATTTGGAGCCTCCCTGCAGCCCCATTCTTTGACAGCGCATACCATTTCCGGGTAGCTGCGCCGGTAAGCTCTCTTTTTTTCCTTTTACTTTTCAGTGAGAAAGAAATGAGCCATTAGATAAATAAACTTTAGCTACAATTAGTTCTTACATTAATCATTCTCTCTTTTCTTTTCCCCCTTGTTCTGACAGGATTTAGCTGACTGTTCAACGGATCCTTATTTTGCTGGGATATTCTTTACAGACTACTTCTTTTACTTCTATCGACACTGTGTCTAATTTATTCAAGTTTGTTTGGGGACTTTACCAAAGAACAATACTCAAATACAGTTAACGGAAACTTACAACCTCTTGCAACTTCTTTCTTCTCTTTGTAAAACATTCACATTTATTGCCAAAGGGCTTTTTCCAGGCTTTGGCTTCCAACAGTTTTGAGACATTAATGAGGAAAATAAAGTGTTTGCTGGAACTTGAGATAATGTGGTGTTTGATTTTGCCATGACTATGAGGAAAACGTTTCCTGGAGTAAACAGCACTGTCGGATTCGAAAATACTGCTTCTGTTACTAAGGAAGCTGTGAAGTCAAAATGGGTAGGTTTAACTTTACTTTGTCTTAATGTATCTCAATGCTTTTGAGAAAAACAAAAAGGCCTATTTCAGCCATGTCAACTTGGACCCGCTAAACACAGACTCTTGAGAATTTGTGATGACCAAATGTGTGTTGGGGGAGGGGTGGGTGGTGTCTGATGCTGAGCTCACATTTAGGCAAACTATTGCTATGTGTAGGTGTGTGTGTGTGCACACGCATGCACACTACGTACACTAGCGTAGAGAATGTAGCTTGCTAATAAACTGGGCTTAAGAAAAATAATTGCAGTTCTACTTTGTAAGGTTTGATGGATGCTAACTTTCTGTATCCTCTTGGGAAGCACTAGCTTGTGACAAGTCCTTTAAGGTAACCCAGACAGTCTAGGCTCAGATAGTTGCATTTGATCTTCCAGTTGTCATTGATTTGTTTTGTTGTTCTTCCTCTACTTATAAGGGGTTCTCTTACAGATCATTAAGACCCATTTCCATTGTTTATAGCTGAATTAGCTTTGGATATTTCTACCTGGTTTATGGGTAGATCTGTATGCCCTTCCCAACTTAGAAGAGCCGGAAATCCTCTAGCTGGAGTGTTATCAACTATATCTTTTATTTTCTGTATTCTGATGTTTTGACGTCTTGGGGTCTTGCTGACCCTCATGGAACACCACCTCCCAGGGTTAGCCAGTTCCTAGAGATAGTAAACAACTTGCCCACCTGCGATTTTTCAAATACAAACCAGCAAATCTGGAGCTCACACTCCAACCACCTCCTTTATCAAGTTCTCATACTGCGGGCCACTATCCACCTGCCCTAATCACTCCAGGGCCATGTACCAGACAACTAGGGACAGCCCCTATAGCCCAGCGCCTGCTACGATTACTCAACTAGCCAGTCCCAAGCCTGTTTCCCCTGCCTCACCTGTTCCTTCCGTGGGAACCACAAAAAAGGCTTTTGCCCAAGGTTGCTCCCTCTCCCCCTGCCTCCTGACTGACCCTGCTGCTTCCCAGTGTGGTCCCCCAAGGCGTGGCATGTCTCCTCCTCTTGGGAACTGTAACAAACTACCTTTTCAATGGTGATCATCTTCTGATCTGTTGACCTTCCTATACCTTAAAATTTTCATTAATACACTATATTTTAGGACATGGCGATTCAAGCCACTCTAGCTCTAGCTTCAGGTAGCAGGGCTGCTGAATGGCTTATCTTACTGTTGGCATGTGTGATACTGTAATTTACAATAAGAAATGTATATTTGATTTTGTCCCCAGTTCCTGGCACAGAGCTCCCAAAACCTTTGGAATTCCCTAAGTGCTGAGAGAGATAAAGGTGTCTTTTGTTTTGTCAGTGAGGTGACATTTGGATGGCACAAAAAGATGGGGGCTGGTTGCCAGGACAACCAATCATGTGATTAGAGGGTTTGAACTTCCAGTCCCACCCGTGATTTCTGGGGAGGGACAAGGAGCTGGAGGTTGATTTCAATCAATTAATCATAATTAATCAATTAATCAATCATAATTTAATTAATCATGCCTATATAATGAATCCAGAGTTCGGAGAGCTTATGGATTGGTGAACACGTGGAGATTTGGGAAGACTGGCAGCCTTGGAGAGGGCATGGATGTTCTTCACCCTTTCTCTGCCCCTAACCCGGTGTACCTCTTCCATCTGGCTGTTCCTGAGTTATATTCTTTTATAATAAACACAGAATCTATTAAGTAAAATGTTTCTCTGAGTTCTGTGAGCCACTTTAGCAAATTAATCAAACCCAAAGCAGGAGATGGGGTCAACTCTAATCTATAGCTGGTAGGTCAGAAGCAAACATGATAACCTGGGCTTGCAACTGGCATCTGAAGTGGGCAGGAGGGGGGTGGGGGTGGGGCGTCCTGTAGGACTGAGCCCTCGGCCGGTGGAATCTGCAGCTGTGCCCCGAGAGACAGTACGAGAACCGAGCTGAGTTGCTGGACACCTCACTAGTGTCTGAGAATGGTCTGGTGCTGTGCGGGTGAGACTCCTCCATACAGTGGAACTGGGTCCCAGAACCGTGTTTAGCCTATGAGTCAAGTAGGATGAGGCAGATGGATATTTTTTCGCCCATGACAGTGGTAATCAGTAGGAATAAGTCCCCATTTGCTTATTTTCAAATGTGATTAAACACGTGCCACATGGATGGAAATTACAAGAGCTATTAAGAAAAGACACGTTCCTTACTGACACAAAAGGCATTCCGAAATAACTTAGGGACACAAAGGTAGTTTAACCCAGTAGGAGCTGAGACTTTGAAGCCAAACAGTCCTTGCCTTGGTCCTGAATCCTGACTTTGTGTATCCTTGAGCGAGTTACTTAACTTCTCTAAGCCTCAATTTCCTCATTTATAGAAGAGGATAGTGAGTATCTGCAATAGAAAGGATTAAATGAGATAGGCTCTAAATAAATATAAGCTGTTATTGTTATACAGAACAGAATAGTTATAAAGATTACAGTGGGATAATAAAGGGACTGAGTAACTGAACACTCACACACAGAGGCATTCCATCAACTGTAAAAACCAAACTGCAGATAGAGCATATGCATGTGTATTACATAATTAATTACATTAATTTGACTCTTCTACTGTTAAATACTGGTCAGTAGCCAAGTTACAGGAGTTCCTTTCGGCACATAAATCCCATGTTCTTATTCACTCACATATGTTCAGGATAATATGGGGGTTTCAGATATCTAGTTGAGTAATGTTGCCTATAAGGAGATTTCTGTAAAATGAATAGTTTCCCCACTAATCCATAAAAAACTGAAAGTCTTTTCCCCACAGAAACCTTATTACAGGAGATGTGTTGAAAGACTTCAGAACGAAAGGATTTAAGATAGTGAACAGACCTGTGGCAATCTGTGGCTTCTTGGAATCAGTTAGGACTAGAATAGACTTTGCTGCAAGCTTCTTTTTGTATTTACAGCACTTCTCCAGTTGTTAGACGTCCACTGTGGACCGGGCTGCTTCAGGCCAAAAAATTTTTCCTTGTGCCAGAGAATTTTCTGAATTTCTACTGGAGTATTCCCAAATTCACAGGATTAAAATGTCTATAAGAGTATTCCTCTCAAAAGCCCATAACCCCAGTCTAATCATAAGCAGAACATCAGACCAATCCCAGACAAGAGGCATTCTACAAAATACCTGACCAGCACTACTCAAAATTCTGGAGGTTACCAAAAACAAAGGAAGTCTGGGAAATGGTCACAGCCAAGAGGAGCTTTTTTATGTTTTTTAAAAATTTTGGCCGTGCCGCGTGGCTTGTGGGATCTTAGTTCCTGGACCAGGGATCGAACCTGGGCCCACAGCAGTGAAAGTGCAGAGTCCTAACCACTGGACCGCCAAGGAATTCCCAAGAGGAGCTTAAAAAGACGTAACTAAATGTGGTGTTCTAGAGGGCACCCTGGAACCAAAAAAGGAGATTAGATACAAACTAAGCAATTTGAATAAAGTGTGGACTTAAGAATAATGTACAGTATCAATATTGGTTCATTTTCTGTGACAGATATACCATACTAACGTTAAGATGTTAATAATGGGGGAAACTAGCTGTGGGGTTTATGGGAACTCTGTGTACCAGCTTCATAATTTTTCAAAATAAATCTAAATTTGTTCTAAAATAAAAAAAAATTATTAAAAAAAAGTAAGAAATGAAGTCCATAACAGCTGGGCTGAAATATCACATGCTGCCACAAGGTGTCATTTGTGATAACGTGAGTTCAATTCTGCGCATTAATTTAATTAGCTTCCAAATACCATAAAGAATACTATATGATATAAAATATGAATACTATAAAATATACAATAACACATAACAAGTAAGATTACAACGATTTTTCTTGAGTTCTAATATAGGAACTCAAGCTCTGTCAGATTTTTTTTTTAAACTACCACACCATAAAAATTCACTTAAAACAATTAGCATGTATGGGTTCAGACCTCCAGCATTTAAAACTAAAAACATTTTGTAGAGCTCTTAACCTACCTCTTCTTCCATTTTTATTTTTATTTATTTTTCCTACACAATTTTTCAATTTCAACTTTAGTGGCAGATTCCCAACAACACGTTATTTGAGTCGTGAAACTAAAGATCCTCAAGAGGAGAGCAACAAAGGAATTCTGTTGGCAGTTTACAAACCTCCTCTTACTGGATTCTCACAAGAACCTTGTGATGTTGGGAATGAGGGGAGTTACTCACAGTTCCCCACTCTACAGATAAGGAGACTGAGGCAGAAATAGGTTAAGCAAGGATAAGAGGTGAGCCAGATTTTCTGGTGTTAAATTAATCCACTTCCACTATATACATATCTTATTCAGCGTGGGCTGTCATACAAAATTGAAGCTTGGGTGGCTTAAACAACAGGAATTTATTTCTCACTGTTCTGGAGACTGGAAAGTCTAAGATCAAGCTGCCAGCAGGCTCAGTGTCTGGAAAGGGCTGTATTCTTGAGCTGAGACAGCCGCCTTCTCACTGTGTCCTCACATGATCTGTCCTTAATGCATGCATATGGAGGGAGGGAGAGAGAGAGAGAGAGAGAGAGAAATCAAGTTCTTCAGTCTCTCTTTTTACAAGGGCATTAATCCCATCATGAGGGCCCTATCTTCATGACCTTGTCTAAACCTAATTACCTTCCCCAAATCAGATCTCCAGATACCATCACACTGGGGACTAGACTTCAACATAAAACTGAGCAGAAGGGCTTCCCTGGTGGCGCAGGGGACATGGGTTCGTGCCCCGATCCGGGAAGATCCCGTACCACAAAAAACAAAAAACAAACAAACCAAGCGGAACGCTGAAGGGGCCTTTCCAGGAACAGACCACCACCTTATCCCTCACCTCTTGTTCATAGAAAAGCTTTAGCCTCCTAGGCCTTCTCCGAGTTCCAAAGAGCAAATTTAATCAGAGAAGTGAGAAAATGAAGAAACAAAGGAAAACAGTCAAGCAGACAAAAATAATAGTTTAGCCATAAAACAAAGTCAAGGACCTTTAGTTTCTCCTCAAGGGCTATTGATAATATCCTGAGCCATATTCTTGAATTGCTTTGCAGATACTAAAACCCCCATCAGGTGGAAGAAGTTAATTGTACGCTGACCAC